GATATTGTTTTGATATTCTAAAATGATATAAATTTGCTAGTTTATGAGTATCATGTATGATATGATGATTGATTTATTTTTAGTATCATGCATAGAGTAAGGATGATATGTAAAGTTTTAAAATTGTGCATGTTGTAAATTGAAACTATAATGATGCATAAACATATTGAAATAATGATTGAAACATTAATGTAATTATGAATGATGATTTGATATTATGCATGTAATATTTCAACTTATGATAATGATGCATGCAATGATAAAATATTCATGATGAAAAATTGTTTTGACATTCATAACTTGATTTTTCATCTTTGATTATTCATCCTTTATCATGATTTGAAAATTATTGTAAAAGGAAAAAAAGATACAAAATTGTATTCTTCCCTTCTTTTTGACAATGACAAAGGGGGAGATAGCTAGTTTGCTTGCACATCTAAAGAGAAGATACATATGTACTTCATGTAGCTTGCTTCATGTAAAACATTGTATCTTGCTATCTTGTTATCTTGCATTATTTTTCAAAAACTTGCTAGCCTTCGTACTTCAAAGAGAAGTAACACTTGTCAAATTGTTAACTTGATTGTTGTAAAATAATGTAAAATTTTGTTAGCTTGCATTTTGCAAAGGAAGCAAAAATGACACTTCTTAAAAGAGAAGAAAGAGCTTGCTATCTTGAACATCACTATCTTACTAATCTCAAGAAGCAAAACTTGCAACTTGCACATTGCAATAGGAAGCAAGAATCGCTAGCTTACACACTTCAACAAGAAAGCTATATTACATTTGCTTTCGAAATTTCTGCTAGTTTGTATGTTGTAAACTTGCTATCTTACTACCTTGCATATCTAAAACTTGATAGCTTGTATGATGTAACACTTGCTAAAATTTCTAGCTTACAAGTTGCATGATGATAAAACTTAATATTATGTTTTTCATGCAATAATTTGGACTTATATCTCAAACACTTGATAGTTGAAACTTCTCCTTTTTGTTGATGACAAAGGGAGAGAAGTATAATCATGTTATGCATGATGATGTGTTACAAATATTCATGATAAAATTTGTAATGACTTGAATTTAGCTTGAATTTAAGGTTCTATCAATATGGTATATTGATAGAGGGAGTTTGTTTAAACTCCGGGAGTTAAGGTTAACTCCGTCATCAATTGGTTGTCATCATCAAAAAGGGGGAGATTGTTGAATATCAAATTTTGATGATAAAACCAATTGATAAGTGTTTATGATTTAATCTACATTTTGAGTGACGTAGAATGCTTCGATCAGGGAGAGACAATTAAAGTAGGAACAATCATATTGGGCCGAAGGAAAACTTGTCAAAAGATTAGACGTCGGGCCGAAGGATCGGTCGATGTATTGATAGAAGGCTTCGGGCCATGGGTTTGGGCATCGGGCCAAGAAGAACGGATATTACACTAAGGATATCAAAGTTGTGAGGTTAACTGGCTGATTGGGTAATAGGCCACAAGAGAGGACGATGCGCCGAAGAATCGAATGAAGCATTGATGGACCAATGATATGCCGGACAACACAATTCATGCTTGGTAATAATTGTCTAGATTAAAGTGTGCTTTTGTGTGTGCATGATTAACTACGATAGCAAGGCATAAAGCAAAATGAAGTCTCGGAGTCAAGAACGCAATTTCGTTGGGAGTTCGAGAGTTCATCGGAAGTTCAGACATTCGTCGGAAGTTCTATCGGAACCAACCGAGAAGTCCAAGAGCTTGCCAAAGAAGCTCATCAAAACTCACCAAGAAGATCGTCGTGAAGTCTAGGAGCTTGTTGGGAGTCCACCGGAACATTGCCGAGAGATCGTCGGAAGTTCGCCGGAAGATCGCCGGAAGAAACCAGACTTATCTTGCTTAAATTATGTCTTAGGAATTATAGTTAGCACATAATTAGAGTTAGGATTGGGAGTAATCCCATCAACTCTGTTAAGGGCCAACTGGGCCCGAAGTTGGGCTAGTTTGGGCTAGATTCAAGGCCCAACCAGGGTGCTGAAACCCTGGCCGACGGTGGCACCGCCAGGGCCAATGGTGGCATCGGCTGGGGAACAACATCCCAGGAAATCTGGGTGGTGGTACCCCTAGTATCAGATCCTACGATGGTAGTACTGCCCAGGAACGACGGTGGTACCGCCAATACCTAGGAAACCTAGGATGAGACATTTTTAGGCTCCAAGTTTGAATCAACTTAAAGCCTATAAATACCCCTCTCATCCCTGGTTAACAAACACAAGAACAAAGAGTTTGAAAGTGAGAAAACGCTATAGAATCACTTGAGAAATCCCTCCTCTACATCTAACTTTAGAATTTTGTTTAGAGAGGAGTGTGTGTGCTTGTAAAGGTTAACTCCTAAACCTGTGAAAAGGAGAAGAGGGGTGTAAGAAGGAGGTTGATCTTTGCCTATTAAAGGAAGATCGATAGTGGATGCCGATAGCCTCGATAGAAGAGGAATCGGCGAAGTGGATGTAGGTCATGATGACCGAACCACTCTAAAATCTAGTTTGTATTTCGTCTTGAGCAATTTCCTTTACTACAAACTATTTTACTTGCTTACTGTCTTCAATACATTTACGAACACGCTTTCAAGTTGTGCAAGTTTCCAAAATCGTTTTTATCATAGGAGAATTTTTCGGAACCGACGTATTTTACCACTGCACTAATTTACCCCCCCTCCTCTTAGTATCGACTCATTCCTAACAAGCTCTACTATGGATCCTACATAGTACCGATAAGTATTTGGTTCCTTACAGTATTTATCTCTCACATGTCTAAACATTTCTTTTATAATCAATAAATTATCACAATTCATGCATCAACCCTTATTGGTCTACACTAAAATGTGTTATGCAATATCTTAAAAGGACTCTCAATCATGAACTTCTCCTTTTGTAAATACTTATCATTATATTTTCAAACCTTTGCTAATGTTAATTGGACAAGCCTACTATTCTCTTTGGAGCAAATCTAATTGGTTTGAGTTCCAAGAAATAAAACACAATTGTAAGATCCACCACTAAGATTGAATACTAAGCTATCTCTACCACTGTTACAAAATTCAATTGGATCACCAATCTACTATATGAACTTAATATCACCTCTCAATCCACTCCTATAATATATTATGATAATGTCGATGTCACCACCTATTTATGCATCAATTCCGCTCATGCATTAAACACGTTATTATCGACTTTCATTTTATTACTATATGTTTCTTAATTCTATCCTTCTAACCAACTAGTAGACTCTGTCACAAAGCCTCTAGCCCATAAGATATTTTAATTGTTTCGATCCAAAATTAACATCCATCACATAATCTTAATCTTATGGGAATATAATAAAATATCATGATATATGTAAATATGAAATGACAACTTTACATGTTTTAATCCTCAATTAACCTATAACTTAAATACATAATTTGAGTCTCATAATATATATATATATATAATAATAATAATAATAATAATAATAAATTCTTCATAATATACGTCATATATACGTATCGACAAACCTTGTACTGCAAGCAGAGCCCACACCAACAAGCTACTCATTTTATGCGAAGCTTGGACCAGACGACGGCTCTCCATTAAGATTTGGTCGTCAGTTCAGACCACGAACGACGTGTCCCTGCATTATCCCTTCCCTGTGCTTATTTATGCTGCCACAGCGAGCCCCATCTCCCTTGGAGTGCATTGACCATGGCGCCCACAGAGATGAGCGCCTCCGCCAACGGCTCCCGCAAGATTGCCGCGGAGTCCCGCCACGTCCTGCCGCCGCCGCCCGGTCTCTTGGGAGTCGATTTCTGTCTGAGGCTCCTCCTGTTTGCATATGCCGTCTCTGCACTTGCAGTCACCTGTTTGTAAAGTATCATCACCATGATGGCTGTCTTCTTTGCCATCTCTCCATCAACAAGGAGTCTGTTCCTTCTCAGCCTCTTCGACGCGGTGATTTAAGCTTCATAGCTGCCTTTATATTTATCTATTACGTAACGACGAACTAATCATCACCTTATGTGTTGGCAGCTGATGGCGGGAGTGATGGCTTCAGCCACCGGCGCCGCCGGCTTCGTCGCCTACATAGGTCTCAAGGGGAATTCACATGTCAACTGGAGCAAAGTCTACAACGTCTACGGCAAGTTTTGCAGGCACATCGGCAGCTCGATCACCATCTCCCTCGTCGCGTCTTGCTCGTCGTGCCCTCAGCGTACTCCCTCCACCGCCGTTGTCACTGATCATTTAATGCACACGGCACATTCAACACACTCTTGTCGCGTTTGTACTGCTGCCAATATGCTGCGTGCAGTCACCTATTGCTGCCGTTCATCTCGTGTGATTGTTGTCGATGATCAACGGATGTGATGTCTCGATCGGATTGGACCAGTTGGTCTAACTCGGCTCTGTTGAAGTTGGCCCCATCAATCAATCTGATCAATGCCACGATGCCCACTTACTATTCATCCAGGTGAGAGAGAGGTTCCTTCCATCAGACATGGTTCGCCCGGCTCCGTGGCTCTATATTGACTCGTCGCCCACCACTTGCGCGGAATAACGTACCGCTTGGCATCTGCTCACCTCCGCTGCCCCTCTTCTCTCTTATTATTGCTCGTCTATTATTTTACCGCCTTCTCATCTCCAAAATCCGCACCTCTCTTTCTGTGTCTCCGCATACGACGAAAGCAGCGAGTAAATGCGAGGGTTCGACGAGCCCCGACCCCAAATCTAGTGCTTGTCCGTCGACGGAGCTCCGATCCGCCAGCTGCCAATCCCTTCCTGAGCTCCCCTCCTGACGAGGTGATGAGCTGAGCCATGGGCTGCGTCCTCGCCAAAGAGGCATCCCTTAGCCCCACGCTCTCCTCCTCTGGCCGCAGACGGCGGGAGAAGAAGCACACCGTCGCCGACGGAAGCAAATCCCAGGCCGCCCTCCCTGGGATCGAGATCGCATGGCAGGAGGACGCGGAGTGTCCGGATGGGAAACGTCACTCGCGGCGCAGGCGGCAAGGACCCGACCCCAGACTGAGCAGCTCCCCTGGCCACGTCCACGGCGAGCTGGTGGCTGCCGGCTGGCCCTCCTGGCTCTCCAATGTCGCCGGGGAGGCCATCAAAGGCTGGACACCCCGGCGTGCTGACACATTTGAGAAGATCGACAAGGCGAGCTTCCTCCTTTACTGCAGCAAATTGTACCTGTTGCCACTTCCATTGGGGTTTCGTAGCTAAAACCGGTGTCCATTTCTTTTCGTGATTTAGATTGGGCAAGGGACCTACAGTAATGTGTACAGGGCGAGGGACATGTTGACGGGCAAAGTTGTGGCAATGAAGAAGGTCAGGTTTGATACCATGGAGCCAGAGAGTGTCAAATTTATGGCGAGGGAAATCCTTATTCTGCGGCGGTTAGATCATCCTAATGTGGTGAAACTGGAAGGTCTTGTCACGTCCAGGATGTCCTGTAGTTTGTATTTGGTGTTCGAGTATATGGAGCATGACCTTGCTGGTCTTGCTGCGAATCCCAAAATCAAGTTCACTGAGCCTCAGGTTAGATTTTAGTGATATCCAGTTAATCCACCTCTTAAAGCTATCATCTTTCTTGATATGTCTACCTGACATTGCACTTGAGCAGGTGAAGTGTTATATGCATCAGCTGTTGTCAGGATTAGAGCACTGTCACAGTAATGGTGTGCTGCACCGTGACATCAAGGGCTCGAATCTTCTAATTGACAATGAAGGGTTACTTAAGATTGCGGACTTCGGCTTGGCTACATTCTTTGATCCTAACCATAAGCATCAAATGACCAGCCGAGTGGTCACTCTTTGGTACAGGGCGCCAGAGCTTCTCTTGGGAGCCATTGATTATGGTGTGGGTATAGATCTTTGGAGTGCGGGCTGCATTTTAGCTGAGTTGTTAGCTGGCAAACCTATTATGCCTGGGAGGACCGAGGTAATCTTTTGATTTGACACTGTATCAGTATCCAGAACTTCCACATGATACATCCTGAAAACTTGTAATAAAAGAGAAAACCCTTTATTGGACATATAACTGCCATTGTGCATATTGATGCTGATCACAGAAGGATGATAATACTAGAAAAGACTTTGTGAAATGTACTCTGATAAGATCCATTCATTCCTTCTGTTACATCTGGTGCAATTTGCTTTTTAGAAATTTACTAAACCAAGATGTGATATTTGGCAGAGGTATATGATAGGCAAATTAAGTCATTTAGAATGCTGCACATAAGAAAGGCAACAGTTCTAGGTGTTATAGAATGCTTAATGCAATTAGAAGGTGAGATTCTGACGACAATGCAAGTCTAGAATTAGTTTCATATATTACAGATACCAAATTGATAAGGAAAGCTGGAAGATTTGATATCAGTTGTTAGTGGCTCATTGGTAGCTGGAACTCTAAACATATAGTTAGTAATAAAAAGGAGATGCAAACATTTTATCAGGTTGATGAAGCAAGATGCACTGAAGTGTGAAATAGATTGGTTTAGGCTTGATGTCATGTTTTCGTTGGCAAATCATGGAATATGTGTGCTGGTGGTTTAACATGTACTTCTTGGATTAGTTGACTTACAAGGCAATTAAAGACAAGGAATAATTAGATCTTGCTTTACTCAAACTAGTAATTCCTGCCAACCAATTCTTCCAGAAAAATGTTAGGATCTTAATATAGACATATCTGCCCACCGATCCCTCGAAATCATTATGGGTAGTTATTTTCATAATTCCAACTCAAGGTGTACATGCATAGAGGAGATCCACTATAAAGTATATTAGCTAGTAGATGACATGCCCGAAAATTATTGGAGTCTAACTCGTCATAGATATATTACCATGACTATGCTGGTCTCACATAATTGCAAAACATTAATATTGTTTCTTGAAGGTATCTATTTATCACTGCTGCTATCTGAATGGCTTCATTTATCAGGTTGAGCAGCTGCATAAGATTTTTAAGCTTTGTGGCTCCCCTTCAGAGGACTATTGGAAGAAGTCAAAGTTGCCGCATGCCACAATTTTCAAACCCCAACAACCATACAAACGTTGCATAAAGGAGACATTTAAGGATTTTCCACCATCATCATTACCATTAGTTGAAACTCTTCTGGCAATTGATCCAGCTGAACGTTTAACTTCCACTGCTGCACTAAATTGTGAAGTGAGTGTCATAGAATGTTTTTTCTATCCTCCAGAAAATGGTTTTGTTAGTAGTGGTGATGGTAGGATCATTTATACTGTCATGAATTATATTGCATATCTTATAACACCATATTGTTAGTTGCACCAAAAAGAGTTACTTTCATGCCACCGTACAATTGAAAGTTGTTGGAAATGTAACTATCTTATTGCAGTCATGGAACTTCAGTGTCTTGGTTTTTATGAATGTTGTAGAAGGAACTTTTCTTTTATGAATGTCGACTTGATTTCATCCTATAATCCCAGGGTGTGATGTCTATTTCAGCTTTTGGTTCCTTGGACCAAATGCCTTTCACGCTCATGCAAAAATTATTTATGAAAAACTGCTGTACTGAAAAGCCAACTTCTCTATGCATCTTGTTACACGATAAAATTACTTCTGTTCACTGCTTTATGTCATGGAAAAGCTAAGACACTTGATTGCTTGACAACTAGGAAAACTATAGAAAAGACAGAATATCTCATGCAGTGTTTAAGCTCTCCAGTTTGGAGAAATCATATCAAGAAATCTCTTTATACATCAACATTTTTTCTGAACTTGATATGCAAACCCTTTTTATTGGCTTAGTAGGGAACCAATAGAAGGTTTGAAATGAGAATGAATAGATGAAAAGATCTGAGCTTTGTGAGCAGAATGCACGTATGGCTTTTAAGAACGAAAATGTGTACCTTCTAAGATATATGAAATTCAGTTTTATTAAAGATATTAGTTATTTTAAATATGTTATTTTTGTTTTTAATTTCTTTTAGACTTATTTTGGCATGACAATTACTTAAGGTAATTGAGATTAGATGAAGGGAGGTATGATTTTGTCCTCTGAATATAGGATGAAAGCTTCAGTCTTCCCAAGCATTGTCTCACTTTTCTGCTTTAGTGCTTGTTGCCAAGGATTGAAATATCATATCGTACCAGTGTTTTGAGGTTTGCTCGGTACGATATGATACTGTGTACCGAGCGGTATGCTAGGGTGTACCGAGCGGTACACCTAATTTAGGCGTAAAATCCTCCGAAAATACCTGAAAAAAAAAGAAGTTAGGATAGGATTTTTAAGTTAGAAATAAATATAGTAATAGTATAAGTTTAGCAAAATCAATGTAAATTAGGTAAGAATAGTATCATTATATCTTTGTCGGACTTTGAGGAATAATCTTGTGCAAGGTTCATATTTCAGTCTATTACGGATTGTCCTTCTATAAATATTGAAATATCTACCGAAAAATCATTTAAATTGTTAGATTATTTCGTTACAATATAAACTCTAAAATTTAAATGAATTAAATAATCACATATGTAGATATACTTGATTGTTGATTCTATCACCAAAACAAACGACGGGCCTCCACGAGTTGTCACGAACGGTCGTCGCGCACCCGCAACAACTTCTTTCAACGAACCGTTCGTCTCTCTCATCTACATGTACAACTACTTGGCAGCCTGTTTTGCCTTGGTTTTGAGTCATTTTGCTTGTAAAAATATAAGTTCAAACAAGTTGCAGCACTACAAAGCGACCGCTCACCAAACCAAGCAAAACAGCCCCAAAACAGCCCAAAATAGCTCCGTTTTCGTGTGTCGTGGGCTATTTTCTGCAGCCCGCCTCCGCTCACCAAAACGTCAGCCATCTCAGCCCCTTTGAACCCCCTGGGTGGCACAGGGCTGGATGGGGCTTCGGTATAGTGTTGGGCGTTGAACAACCTTTCGCAAGTTCGCACGTTACCTTGATGGGAACTTGTTGTCGTGCCCGGCACCCGGTGAGCAGCTGTTTGTGGACTTGCAGCTGTTCGTTCAACCCTCTAAAGTCCTTGTTTTCCCCC